AGCATGGCGGCGGAGAAGAACACGAACAATACTCAAAAAGAGAAAGAAAAATATAATCTATGTTACATAATATCATTGTGTCAATGTAATTTTTTTTCTTTTTTTTCTCGAAAACGCAAGTGAATTGCATTTCATTTCATTAAGGGGAAGAAAAATGAAGGAAAAAAAATACAAAGTAGGAGATACCAAATCCCTCCTACACACCCATACCCCAGCCAACCTCGGCCAATTAGGTGCCTAGGTTTGCCGAACCACTAAGAAACTTTTGGAGGGCAGACGCCCCCGCTAAACACCAAAGGTTACCCTCATTCTCAACCACCCGCAAGACCGTCTCAACATTAGGACTAGTGCCATTGAAAACAGTCATTGCGATGCTTCCAAATCTCCCAAGCCACTAAGATAACCAAGGAGTTGAGCCCTTTCCACACGTCCTTTGGCCGGTATTTTGTAGATTGGCTCCACCACCTCAAAAAAAACGATCGGTTGAAGGTTGAGGCACTATACCAGAGATCCCTAGCTTCAAGAACAGAACTGTCCACACTTGGCGGGAAAAGACACAAGAGATCAAAATGTGTTGGATGGATTCTTCACTTTATCACAAAGGGGACAGGCCGCGGGGTGCTGCAGTCCGTGCTTCGCAAGCCTGTCGGCTGTCCAACATCTATTATTGACGGCCAACCAGAGGAAGAACTTACAGCAAAGAGGAGCCCAACTCTTCCAAATGCGTTTCCAAGGAGCAAACTTGATCGATCCCAGGAAATAAGCTTCATAGGTAGATTTACAAGTATACATGCCATCACCAAACATGCTGGTCTTGTACATCTTGTAGCAGAACCACCTCATCAACCAAAGACCAAATGGTCAAGTACTCATAAAGGACCTGAACAGATAGTCCCCCATGTATGTCAGCCACCCATCTTTTGTTTTCCAAAGCCCGCGCCACTATGTCAGCCACCCATCTTGGAGATCAAGGCAAAGAGATTAGGGGCCAGCTCTGCTACTGTTTTACCTTGCAGCCACCTATCACTCCAAAACATGGTATTTTCTCCATTTCCAACCACAATTTTGATAGCCACATTGAAAAGAGAATGGACATTCTGAGGCACATGAATAGACAAACCGGCCCAAGGCCTGGCAAAATCAGTTTTTTGAAGCCATCACCATCTCATGCGTAGTGCCCATTCCATCTTTTCAAGGTTAAGGATACCAAGGCCTCCATAGGACAAAGGCTGACACACGATCCCAAGATATCAAGCAATTTCCTCCATTAGTATTTCTCTTCCCTTCCATAGGAAGCCGTGGCACCTTTTATCTATAGCCTTGACCACCCACTTAGGAAGATCCAACGCCATCATTGCATAAATAGGAATAGCCGAGAGGACCACCCTAACTGTTATAAGCCGACCTGCCTTGTTCATTAAAGAGGCTTTCCAACTCGGTAAATTATCTGCCACTTTGTCCACAGAGGGCAACAAATCTGTCTTGGTTTTCGGATTGTAAGTGGAAGTCCGAGATAAGAACAAGGGAAATTGTTTACTTCACAAAACAACTCATTATATATCACTTCCAGATCATCTTCCAAGCAGTGAATAGGAGTGCATGAGCTCTTTGTCATATTGGTCCTTAGACCAAAAATTTGACCAAAAAACTCCAAAATCTGCTTGATAAGAGATAGGTCCCCGCTTGTAGGACGCAAGAACATGACCACATCATCCGCATACAGAGAAACCCGGTGTGCTGTCTGCGGGACAGCAAGAGGTTCCAGTAGATTTCCATGATCCGCATGCACTGCAACTGAATTCAGCACGTCCATAACCAAGATAAAAAGCATAGCAGACAAGGGGTCACCTTGCCGGAGGCCTCTACAATGAGCAATTTCCTTGCCGGGCTCTCCATTGACCAAAACTCTTGTGGAGGAGGTTGACAGCAAAAGGCAAAGCAAATTACACCATCGTCTCCCAAAACCCAAATGGCACAAAACTTCAAGAAGAAAGGATCAGTCGACCGAATCAAAAGCCATCGAAATATCAAGTTTAAGCATAACATGGGCTTCTTTCTTACTGTCCAGCCTTCTAGCCATTTGTTGGACAAGCAAAAAAAAAGTGCCAATGTAATTTACATGACTCATACTAAATCTCAAAGTGTCTCACTCAAGAAAAAAAACAAAGCAAGAAAAAGGATAAAACGAAAAATTAAAAACAAGTCACTGAGATGACCATGGTATATAGAAGATGCAAGTCAAGCCTACAAAGGTGCATGCCCGAAGTGATTCACAAGGTCCAAGTGCCCAACCAGTGTATCTGGAGTCCTTGTGCTGGAGGAAGGACACACGAGCGTGGATAAGTGGTGGTGTATAACCCTGCCACGTTCGTTTCCACTACTAGCAGTGGATGAAATTTTGGATTTTTCGTGGCACGTTTTTCAAACTGCTAAACGGTGTGTTTCGTGTAAAAAAAATTCTGTATGAAAGTTGTTCTAAAATATCATATTAATCCATTTTTCAAGTTTGTAATAATTAAAACTCAATTAATCACACGTTATTACCACCTCGTTTTACGTGAAACACTTAATCTTCATCTTCATCTTCATTTTTAGGAGTCGTGCCGTATGCGTGTACAATCGTTTTGATGGAAATAACATAGACCTTTTAAGTCATCCCGTTCCTACGGGATGTCGTTATCTAGATTTTCTGTTCGAGATTTAACCAAAATCGGCTGTTCACTGTCCACAAGCATCCGTCTGTGGTTCAAAACTGCCATTCTCTGCAGAATCGTCGTCAGCGTGTTTAAATTTACAAATCAGCAAAAGATCCCCTCTAATTTGGACGTGGAACAACAGATTTTATACATCTGACGCGGGGGCATTGAGCCCTGGAGTTTAGCGTAGTTGTGGATTTCACCGGAAAATTCCATTGAATCTCAAGATCGTCTTCTCCATCCATGGAGCTACCAGCCATGCCATATTTATATACAAAACCGGAAGGGTATCGGTCTTGATTCTATCTGGAAACGAACCCTCTAGGGCAGTAGCAGTGCAAGCACCTCATTTGAGTAACCTTATACGCCACGTAGGACAAATACACATCGAATCCACTACTCCCACAGTACAAAATACTTTCACGGGAACCCAATCCAACCACCCCCAACTTTCACCGGCCTTCTCTCTCCCACTTTCCCCTTTACCCTTTCCCACTTTCACGCCCCACTTTCCCCTTTCACATCCAATCGATGACAAGGACGATTCGATGATGGCGGCGACATGGCTGCGACCCCGGATCTCCTCGGGGCCACATAGCGGCGGTGTCTTCGAGGCCTAGTGAAGAAGCGGCGGTGAGAGGACGGCAGCGGCAGCTTGGATCTGGAGCCGACGGCGGGAGGACTACGAGCTCTCCCCTCCTCCCTCCGCTGGCGCCGGCTCCCTATGCGGAAGAAGCAGCCAGCGAGGGCGGTGCCCGCTCTGGTCGGCCCCGCCGCCGTCGTCGTCGACGTCGCCAACCGTTCCCCCGACCCCTATGGCGCCGACCTCTCCCCGCCCCCGCGCCTGCGCCCAAGTCAATGGAGTTACTGCTGCTGCTGCACGGCTCGGGGATCTCCGCGCCGGCAGCGTCAGCGGAGGGAGCTCCCCTCCTCCCTCCGTCGTTGCCGCCCTCCTCTCCTCCCTCCGTCGGCTCTCCCCTCCTCCCTTCGCCGGCGAGAGGACGGAGACGATGACGATGCCGCCGGGTAGCGACTCTCCTCTCCTCCTTGTCCGTCTCGATCTGGTCGGATTCGGAGCAGCGGTGCTGCGGTGGTTGAGGAGGCCGAGGCGGTGGCGTGGATCCGGAGCGGCGAGGGTCAAGGAGGCCGAGGTGGATTGGTCTCTCTTCTCCTCCCTTGGCGGTGAATGTGGAGAAAGAGGAGGAGGCAAGGTCGCGCCGAATCGAAGCAATGACTTTCATAGTGCGAGTTTCCTTCGCCACGCACCCTCCTTGCACCGAGAAAACGCGTCTCCCAGTTAGGGCGCGAGCGGCCGGGCGAAGGTGTGGGTCTCGGCGCCATGTACGCGTGAATCCGAGCTGGCGCAGTAGGTAACTCCTCCATGTAGGAGCACTGTGAAGGACCTTAACTTGGGGTGTAAAGACAAAGGCATGCAATACAATGATTTTGTAGTTATTTCTTATATCTGAGAATCAGATGGCTGGAAAGTGGAAACTCCCCAAAGTCAGTGTACTATTCACCCTTAACTTTAACCCTCTAAGGGTGTGTTTAGTTTGCGAAAAGAAAATTTTTAGGTGTCACATCGAACGTTTGACCGGATATCGGAAGGGGTTTTCGGACATGAATGAAAAAACTAATTTCATAACTCGCCTAAAAACCACGCACGGGACGAATTTATTAAGCCTAATTAATCTTTCATTAGCACGCGTGGGTTACTGTAGCACTTATGGCTAATCATGGACTAATTAGGCTCAAAAGATTCGTCTCGCGATTTCAATGCGAACTGTACAATTAGTTTTTTTTATCTATATTTAATGCTTCATACATGTGTCCAAAGATTCGATGTGACGTTTTTGGGCAAAATTTTTGGGAACTAAACATTTCCTCAACTTTATAGGGTGTGTTTAGCTCTTTGGGTGTAAAGTTTTTAAGTATACGAACACACATTTGAAGTATTAAACGTAGACTAATAACAAATAAATTACAGATTCCGCTTATAAACTGCGAGACGAATTTATTAAGCCTAATTACTTCATCATTAGTAAATGTTTACTCTAGCACCACATTGTCAAATCCTAGCGTAATTAGGCTCAAAAGATTCGTCTCGTAATTTACATGCAAACTTTGCAATTAGTTTATTTTTCCACATTTAATGTCCTATACATATGTCCAAATATTTGATTGCAACGTTTTTCATCAAAATTTTATTTTATCTAAATAAGGCCATATAGTTTATAGTCGTGTCACTCACATACGCTATAATCCAGTGACAGAACTACAAACCGCACAGAAAAAGGCGATCTCTTTCCAATCCATTCCATCCACACACACGCAGGGAGTCACAGACCAGCGGAGAGAGACTCTCTCTCTCTCCATCAGGCGTTAACTGAGCTCGTACGGCCGGCGCTGGCGAAGAAGGCGACGGAAGAAGATATCACCGAATTCCACAAGATAAATGCCGCTTTCTGCAGCAGCTGGGTTGAGATGGGGGAAGAAATCAAGAACGGAGAGGAGGGACCAGACATGGCTGCACCGGGCGAGGAGGAGCAGGAGCAGGGGAGGAAAGGCATCCCGTCTCTGCTCTCCTCCAGGGAGGAGAACATCGCCTCTAACATCACTCAGGTGAGCAGATTTCTTTTCTCCCAAAACAAAACAAAACAAAACTGATGAGAACCAGTGGATTTTGTTGCTTTTCATTACAGGTTCAGTTTGTTGTATTCGGTATCTTGCAAAAAATCTTGATAGTTGCTGTTTAGTGGATCAAGTTTCCCCTTAATTGAGTAGTAAGCCAGTCAGCCAGTGTGGTGTTTGGACATTTTTCTTGATTGGTATTATGGTGCTATTTTTCTCGTTCTTGTATTCAGAATCTGGATTGTGCATCTAGCAATAATTTACGTCTTGTGGTTTCTATCTCTTTGCTCTCAGCTGATTGGATGGACACCGCTTGTTGAGATGAAGAACATCGCGAAGAACGAAGGCGTACAGGCTCGATTGGTTGGGAAGATGGAAGCATACCAGCCACTCTGCTCTGTCAAGGACAGGAGTGCCCTCAGGTGCGTTCATGCAAAACATCGTCATAGTTTTCTGATTGATATAGTGCACTTGTTTCTTCAGTTGTTTACATTTTTTAGTCAGATCAAATTATTTACAAAATTGTGTTTATGTGAGAAGCATCTATAAAAAGTGTTAAAGAGTTTCAAAATTGCCTTGGCATTTGCAATTTCCATGTTTCTTCTGCAGAATGATTGAAGATGCAGAGGAGAAAGGGTTGATCACACCTGGTGTTACCACGCTGATTGAGCCAACGAGTGGTAATCTCGGTATCGGTTTGGTGCTGGTTGCTGTTCAGAAAGGCTACAGGTTTATTGCTGTCATGCCTGCTAAATATTCGCTTGACAAGCAGATGCTACTGAGGTTTTTGGGTGCTGAATTGATATTGACAGGTGAGAACCTGGATCCCAGTTTCTACAAATGGTTAAAAAACCAATAAGCACTTAAATGCCTCAAGTAAATATTTTCCCTAACTAATATTTTCAGTTGAATGGGATGATTTTGTTCATTTCATATTTACATAATTATTATGCTGAAGTATTTTTTTTTGAAAGAATATTATGCTGAACTAATGAGTGTTCTTTATCTTATGAACAAGTGCCGTCGACACTCGACAAGTGTTAAGTACCGTTTGTTCTTATTTTGCTGCAGATCCTGCAATTGGGTTTAATGGTATGATGGACAAGGTGGAAGAGCTCATGAAGAGCATACCAAATTCTCATTGTCTCAATCAAGTAACAAACCCAGCAAATCCAGAGGCACACTTTATGTGGACTGGTAAGTATTCAGGAAAAATCCACATTTCCAATTTTCCATGTTTTACAAATTACAGCTATCTTTCATTATCTACTGCCAGTCATTCTGCCTTGGAAAGATGTACCTAGGGATCATACATCATGTTTATTTTGTGAAATCTTCAGGACCTGAAATATGGAAAGACACAGCCGGCAAAGTGGATGTGTTTGTGGCCTCTGTTGGTTCAGGTGGCACATTGACAGGTGTAGGGAGGTATCTGAAGATGAAAAATCCATCTATAAATATTGTGTGCGTGGAACCTTCAGAAAGCCCTGTAATTTCAGGTACCCCTGTAATATCTCTAAATAGTAGTTCGAGGTAGAATAATCAGATTGTCAGTGTAAGCTTTCTCAAGGTGCATTTTTCTTCTGAGTGCTAGTGTAGACAAGAGAGTTAAGAAGAACGAAAGGAAGAGTTGATGCTTACTGAAGTTTCTAAAGTAGAACATTTGTGTGCAAGAGCATTTTTACAGGTCTATTATCAAAGAGGTGTTTATCTATGGAGATTGAGAAAATTCAGTTCGCCATTATGTAGTTCATCAGGACCCTAAGTAGAAATGTAAAAAAATATATATATATTGTTACCTGCCATATGTTTGAAATTTTGAGTGACCATACAAATGAGGTATCTTAGCATGCTCTTCTGTAAAGTGTAATTGATGACATACTGCTCAAAATTCCCCTTCTCTTTCAACTTCTTGTTCAATGTGCCTAAACAATATTTCTGCTTGATTCTATTCAGGTGGTTCACCAGGGCCACACAAGATTCAAGGCACTGGGGCAGGTTTCATACCTGAAATTTTGGACAAATCTGTCATCGATGAAGTAGTGACAGTAAACACAGAGGAATCCATGGCAATGGCGAGGAGGCTGGCGAAGGAGGAAGGATTGCTTGTTGGCATATCTTCTGGTGCAAATGTAGCTGCTTGCATCAAGGTAAACAGCTCATCTTAGCTAGGTATACATAAACCCTGCTCTAATTGTGTTTCTGTCTACCCAATTTAATGGATCTCAAGCAGATTGCAGACAGAGAGGAGAACAAGGGGAAAATGATTGTGACAATGTTCCCGAGCGGCGGTGAAAGATACATGAACTCTGATCTCTTTGCACCTGTTAGAGAGGAATGTGATAATATGACCTTCTGATGATGTCTTGGAGCTGCTCTCCTTTTCAGGCACTGTACACATGTGTTTTCCACTTTTCCTCCATATTGTTACTTAAGATATGCTTCATAGTTCAGAGCACACTATACATTTTTCTTGTTGCTTCTTTGTTGAGGAAGAGCAAGAATTTCAGCATAATGTGATGTGCTCCTTTGTGCATGTGTTGTAAATTTATTGTATATCCTAATATGCCGGCAAAGTGGTTGTCTATGACCTACACAAGTTGAAATAAAAAAAAATGGGACCAATCTAGGAAGGACTAGATTGATTTTGAATTAAGGAGGGGGTGAGGCTCGAACCCGGACCAGCTAGCTCGCAGCTTGCGTTGCTAGCCGGGAAGACCCCGGGCCTTTCTCCACAAGTTGAAATAAAAACAATAAGTATAATTGTTGATGGTGCACGTATTAGTTAGAATTCAGTTTGTTGTTTTTGTTTCAACTTGTATAGGTTGAAATACACCTACATGTTTGTAGAGTGGTGTATCACATATTGATATATGCTATCAATTTTTTAGAAAATATAATTATGCGGATGATATGCAATAAACGAGGATACATCCCTTTAAGGAAAGAAAAAACACGTCCTCTCAAGGGAAAAAAGAAGGCGTAGCAAGGTACCTGAATATGAAAATTCCATCTATAAATATAATAATGTGCGTGGAACTTTTCAGGAAATCCTCTAATTTTTCTATGTGGGAACAGTTGTCGACATAATAATCAGAAGGATCAGTCTAGCCATATCTGAAGCTGTATTTCTGCTGCTGTTCGTGTAGGTTGAAAAATGTACTTTTCTTGTTGCTGCATCTTTGCAGATCAAATTCCAGGATTCCAGAAGAATGTGTTCTATCTAAATTATAACTGTATAATCCCATTATACAGAAGATTGCCTTCTCGTTTTATTTGGTTCAGGATAGATGTGATTTCAAAACTAGTACATGTCCGGTGACATTTTCCATGGACAACTACCTGATCATCCTACCCTGAAATCGTTTTATTTTATTTATTCTCCACGTGCTGAAGCAGAAGCACATTGAGGAAATTAATTAAATCGCGGGTGCAGTCGTGGTGGATTTGATTCGGTTCGATTTGTTTTGCCTTGCAAACTGTTAGGAGGCGATGGATTATATAAAAATTTTGACGCAATGGATTATATAAGATGAACATGTGCATGGATCAATTCTTAGTTAGTGGAAACAATGGCGATGGCGGCTGCGGCGGTGGAGGTGGAAGAGGGGAGGACGGGGATCCCTTCTCTGCTGCGGCTCTCCGCCGTGGGGGAGGAGGCCATCGCCTCCAATGTCGCTCAGGTATGTCATAGTAATGGTCAGTCGAGGAGTTGGTTGCAAACGCAGAAGAATAACAACGTCACACCCTTCCTGTACGGCAAAGAGATATATAAAGGAAATAAAAGAATATTCAGAAAAGACTAAAAGTCCTACTTAAATAGTTATAAACCGAATAAGTTATATACTAAAATTTGGATCACATATTAACACTCTTGTTTGCTTACTGTGTGTTAGTGTTCTTGTTGAGAGCTTCATTGAGCTATGCATTTGGTGAGGAAAGATCACGGTGAGGATTTTTGGGGAGCTAATATGATTAGGGACTTACATGTTTGTGGTTAATCTTTATTATTGACAGCTGATAGGCTGGACGCCACTGATTGAGATGAAGAACATCGCCAAGAAAGAAGGCATCCAAGCTCGTTTGGTTGGAAAGATGGAAGCATACCAACCCCTTTTCTCGGTCAAGGACAGAACTGCTCTCGGGTGAGTAAGCACAGATTCATACATCGCATTATTTCTTCAGTTATATATGCCCTTTTTTCCACAGGAAATCTGCTATGCTTCGCTCCATTCCTAGCATCTTACCATATACTCAGTTATGTGATGAAGAATATGCAAGCCATGTGGTTAACCTTAACTGGAATTTGCAATTTTTTTGTGTGCAGTATGGTTGAAGATGCAGAGGAGAAAGGCTTGATTACACCTGGTGTTACGACGCTGATTGAACCAACTGGTGGTAATCTTGGTACCGGTTTGGTATTGGTTGCTATTCAGAGAGGCTACAGGTTCATTGCTGTTATGCCTGCTGGATATTCACTTGACAAGCAGATGCTACTGAGGTTTTTGGGTGCTGAAGTGATATTAACAGGTGACAACCAGGATCTCAGATGAAATTCAGCAAGCATTTAAATTTCTCATTTAGTTTTTTGGTACAAAACATATTTTCTGTTATGGACTAAATTTTGTGAATTTCTTGTGCTTATGTTATTGTGTTATTGGTTACATAATTATGTTAAATCAGTTACTACTACTCTCTCTCTTGCATATTAAGTGTCCTCTGACAAGTTATTAAGTAATGCATGTTTTCTTTTGCTGCAGATCCTGCAGGTGGATTCAAGGGTATGATGGACAAAGTGGAAGAGCTCACCAAGGTCATGCCAAATTATCACTGTTTTAACCAATCAATTAACCCAGCGAACCCAGATGCACACTTCAAATGGACTGGTAAATAATTCTGGAAATCCACACTTCAGTGATATGCAAAGTTTTTTTCCAAACTTCCAACTTTCCATCACATCAAACCTTTCATACACACACAACTTTTCTATCACATCGTGATAGAAAACTTTCAATCAAACTTCCAAACTTCAGTGTGAACTAAACACAGCCTCACAACAATGTTTTATCATCTACTGTCCATAACTTTGCTTTATATGATACACATGTTCATTTTCTGAAAATGTCAGGACCTGAGATCTGGAAGGATACAGCCGGCAAAGTTGATATCTTTGTAACCGCCGCTGGAACAGGGGGCACACTGTCAGGTGTAGGAAGGTACCTGAAGATGAAAAATCCATCTATAAATATAGTGTGCGTGGAACCTTCAGAAAGCGCTGTAATTTCAGGTAATCTGACAATATTGTGTAGTAGCAGTTCCAGTGTTGCAACATAATAATCAGAAGTAACCTGATGTTGCGTAACTGTAGCTATTCATGTAAGATTGAAAAATAAATAAGAAGGAAAGAAAGAGCTGCTTACTTATTTTTATATAATGGAACTAGCATGGTTGCCCGCGCAGATTGCGCGGCTAGCATCATTATATCTTCTATCGTATAATAGCATATATATTTTTTCTCAACTTATTATTAAAATATATTAAAATGACAACATAGTTTTAAATTTTGTACTAACTTTACCAAATTACCAATGTGTAATATTCATACTGTATTTTATTTATATGTGATACTTATTAATTATTTTTAATATCAAATTTTAGTTATTTCTAAATTATATTCCTATATGGCTTGCAGACTCGTCTTCCAACATTCCTTATTTTTTTAGTTCTGAATTTTCATTATTTGTAAATTGTATTTATATATAGACTCTAAGCTCTTCTTCCAATATTATTTATTTCTAATTCTGAATTTTCATTATTTCTAATTGTATTTCTATGTGGACTCTAAACTCATCTTTCAATATTCTTTATTTTTTATTTCGAATTTCAGTTACTTCTAAACTGTATTACTCTTCTTGCCATATTTTTTTATTTTGAATTTTAGTTATTTGTAAATTGTATTTCTATATGGACTTTAAACTCTAATTTTAATTTTATTATTTTTATTCCGAATTTTAGTTCATTCTAAATTCCTATATGGACTCTATGCTTTTCTTATAATATTCCTTATTTTTAATTCCGATTTTCTATTATTTATTAATTGTATTTCTATATGGACTCTGTGTTTTTCTTATAACTAGTAATAGTGCACGTGCAAGGCACGTTTTTACAATATATATATTTTAAAGAAATAAAAATACGGGGAAAAGCAGTGCTTGCAAGGGTTCATACACTGACTTGAGAAACATGACAAAGGTATGTCCACATACTGACTTCAGGTACATTCCATATTCACGTTCAGATAACCTTGAATGGTAATAGTAGTATATTGTTTACACACATTGCAACGGCCAAGGTTAGACACTAAACCGAGACAACCTTACATTGACTGGTAATTTTGTAAACTTCCAGAACTTGAGCTATAAGAAATTCATAGTATTAATTAGCTCACAGCAAATTAAAACAAATACATCCATCGCTTAAATCAATTTTGACCATACAGTTTTTTATCATCTTTTGAAAAGGGACATCTATATTCATATCAAAATTAAAGGAAGATGTAACCTACTAATTTGTGACATGTGTGCAAGGCACAATGCAGATTGGATCCCTTAAGTTGTAAACATTGCAATAAAATAATCCAATGTAATAAAGGAATCAAGGTGCACAGGGACATTACTTATCAGCATAGGTTGCAACAACACAATAACTGGAAGAGATTAATGTAAAGCTTGTTAATTCAGGCCAGCATTAAAATATTTTGCTTCTCCATGTTAAGTACAGTGGTTTGGTGAGAATCTCAGTTGATAATCTTCTGAGCGAGTAACCCAGTTGTTCATCTTGGAACAACCCATGTTCCACTATATACATACAACCTTCATTCAATCAGTTATGTAACACAAAATTTACTGAAGTAATCGATCATCTGTTCAGTCACAAGATATGAACAAGAGTACAAGAGTAGGTAATAATAGGAATCGAGACAAACCTGATTTGAGCAATTCCTGCTGCAAGAAGGGACCTGAAGAAATTAACGCCTAATTTGCATCTCTGAACGGAAAGGATCTTCAATTAAACATGGGTTTCCGCAGCAAACTGAAATAGCATCGGAGGGAAGAGGTCCAAACCTGCAAGCCTGCATACTGCCTCATCTCAAGTCCTCATCACCTTCATCGGTGCCTCCTACTGCTTGGGCTCTGCCAGTCCGGAAGAGCAGTGGCAGTCGGCGTGAAAGCAGGAGGTGGGAGCACGGGGGCAGCGACGGACGGGCCGACCGGCGGCTGGCTCCTCTTCTCCCCACCTCAGCCCCAGCTCTGTCCTCTCTGGCGGTGCTTGGTTGGAGTGGAGGTTGTCCGAATAGCTTCTCGATCCCAACGGAGGAGCCGAGAAAGGAGAGCAGCTCTTCGTTCTGGAGGAATCGTCGTGGTGATCTGGATATGGCGAGGCGGCGCGACGGGGATATAGGGATGGGGGATCACACGGCTATGTGGCCACGGACGACGGGCGACAGCGACGAACCGTGGACGGCGGAGTAGTCGCGGGGCTGGGGAGTAGACAGCGGCGACACACAGATCCGAGGCGGCGACGGCCGCGTGTGAGGAAGTGGTGGGGTAGAGCGAGCGGCTCCGGCAGGTGCGCGCGCGGGGCGGTGGCGGTAGACGGCGGGCAGCGCGGTGGCATGGGGACGGCGGGCGGCGCGGCGGCGTGGGGAGGGCAGCGTGTGCGTGGCTGAGGTCAGGCGGGCGGCGCGGCGTGGGGATGGCGGAGGTTAGCGTTTTTTCAGCGTTCCTTTCTTTCGTGCGCGACGTGCGCGTTTTCTTTGGGCCGGGCCGCCGTGCAAAGCGTGGGTCCCACGCGACTGTGGATCCGATGGATTACAGGACCGGGGATGAACTCGTGCTTTTTATATTATACTAGCAAATATGCCCGTGCGTTGCAACGGGTGAAAAAACGTAATGATAATATACGTTTTTCATGCATAACCATATCGATAACAATCAGAAAATTAGAACTACGAAACTTTATTTTCAAGCGCGTTTTCTTTTGTGCTTTTTTCTGACATTTTTCCCTCACGTGTTTTTTTAAACCGTTTTTATTTTCTCGCGCATTTTTTCCTTTTTTAATATACTGTAGAAACTTCTCTTTTTATAGTTAGATTAGATTAGATTAGAGATAAAGAAGATATATAAATGGACTAAAAAACGACGAATATAAATTTGACTTTTTTCCTCCGCGCTTTTTTCCGTCCTTTTAATTTTTTTTCTCGTGCATTTCTTTTACGAAGGGTTTTTTTCACCACTTTCACATAGTGTCAAACCTTTCTAGATATAATAGGATTCGATTTTTTTTACCGCATCACGTATAATTCCTTTTTCTTTAGAAACAGACAATTTTTTCGCCCTTTTTTATCGCGTCAACGGAGTCGGAATCGTTTTGATTTTTTCCCTTTTTTTGGATCGGACAGATTTTTTTTTGCCCGGTTTATTTCGCCCGATCGATTTTTTTTACCGCGTCACATATAATTCCTTTTACTTTGGATTTTTTTCGCCCTTTTTTTACCGCGTCGACGGAGTCGGATTCGTTTTGATTTTTTTTCTCCCTTTACTTTGGAATTTTTTCGCCCTGTTTTCACCACGTCGACGGAGTCGGATTCATTTTGATTTTTCCCCTTTTTGGCTTTTTTTGGATAGGACAGATTTTTTTTTCTCCCCGTTTTTTTATCGGACTTTTATCTTTTTTTTCGCCTGGTTTTTTTATTTTTTTTACCGCGTCACATATAATTCCTTTTTCTTTATCGGAAAGTTTTTTTTCGCCTTTTTTTACCGCGTCGATGGAGTCAGATTCTTTTCAGCTTTTTCCTTTTCTTTTATCGGACAAATTTTTTTTTCGCCCATTTTTTTTCTCCTGTTTTTTTCGGATCGGACTATTTTTTTCTTTTTTCGCCCGGTCGATTTTTTTACCACGATATATATAATTCCTTTTTCTTTGGAATAGGACAGTTTTCTTTTTATTTTTTTAAACTCTTTTTACCGCGTCGATGTAGTCGGATTCGTTTCGATTTTTTTCCTTTTTTTGCTTTCTTTTTTGTCGGACAGATTTGTTTTTTTTCCACCCGGTTTTTTTCCGCCCAGGTTTTTTTTATCGGACTTTTCTTTTTTTTTTGCTCCACGATACATATAATTCATTTTTCTTTGGAATAGGACAGTTTTCTTTTTATTTTTTTAAACTCTTTTTACCGCGTCGATGTAGTCGGATTCGTTTCGGTATTTTTTCCTTTTTTTTTCCTTTTTTTTTGTCGGACATATTTGTTTTTTTTCCGCCCGGTTTTTTTTCGCCAGGTTTTTTTATCGGACTTTTCTTTTTTTTTCGCTCGGTTTTTTTCTCCCGTTTTTTGACGGACGACGGAAGCACCTAGAGAAGTGTTAAGCACCTAGAGAAGTGTTTTTTTTCTTTTCTCCAATCCAATACAGATCGGATCTCTTCCAGGGAAATCCGATTTTTTTTCTCCAGGGAATCGGACTCTTTTTTTTTCGCTTTTTTTATTCATTAAACGGTTTGTCTCTCGGACTTTTTTTTCCCTTTTTAAGGGATCGGGTGTTTTTTTGCCAGGGACGGGTGTTTTTTTCGCCCGGTTTTTTTTTCACTTTTTTTTTTGGATCGGACTTTTTTTTTCGTCCGGTTTTTTTGATCGGACAAACTTGGTTTTTTCTGCCCGGTTTTTTTTCACCCGGTTTTTTTGACGGACGATGGAAGCACCTCTTATTTTTTAAGTAGTAGTAGATATTAGTATAGACATTCCTTATTTTTAATCCCGATTTTCTATTATTTATTAATTGTATTTCTATATGGACTCTGATTTTCTTTTTCTCCAATTAATATGAGAAATTATAGACTGTGAGAGCGAACATGGAGACTCATTTTTCTATTACTTTAATAAAATAATAATAGATTCATTACGGCCTTTGCTTCTAAGAAATTATAACCAATTACTACGAATTATAAAATTACAGATTAATTAAAAATAACAAAACTACTTAGTATACCACCTTTAGACAGATATTTCCGTCTATGGTTGACCAATATATGCATAATCATTGTTTCTACTAATTGAGTCTCAAAATTTTACCATTTGACATGATCAAAATCATGTTTTCCTACTTGTTTAATGCGCCTAAACAGCACCATTGCTTGATTGATTCAGGTGGTTCACCAGGTTTTCACAAGATTCAAGGCACTGGGCCAGGTTTCATACCGGAAAATTTGGATAGATCTATCATCGATGAAGTTGTGACCGTAAGCTCGGAGGAATCCATAACAATGGCCAGAAGGCTTGCAAAGGAGGAGGGGCTGCTTGTTGGCATATCTTCTGGTGCAAATGTGTCTGCTTGCATCAAGGTAAAAACAGATGTTCTTTTTTTTTGGAGGGAACGATAAAAAAAAACATATGTTCTTACCGAGTTGTAAACTTGCATTGCGTTTCGCGATATCTGACTTGTCAAAAAAATTACCAGATTGCAGCTAGAGAGGAGAACAAGGGTAAGATGATTGTTACAATGCTGCCGAGTGGGGGTGAAAGATACATGAACTCTGATCTCTTTGCAGATGTAAGGGAGGAATGTGCTAATATGACCTTCTAATATGTCTGTCTCGGAGCAACTCTGCTTTGCTGTACTGTAAAAGGTTACTAGTACTATGTTTATACCACATTATTACTGGAAATTTGCTTCTGAATTCAGACCACACGCGCCATTTTTATTGTTGATGGTTCTGTAAATTGTTGTGAAATGGGTTTCAGTCCTCCAAATTGATTTGCTGTGTTCCAGTGTGGTATGTAACATGTTATCTGTGTCAACGCAATGTACAACGATGAGTTTTAAAAAAAAAGAAAGGCAACTAGATCATTATTTTGAAATTGGAATAAGCAAACAATATCATATTTTCTAGATTTGATCTTTGCCAAGGAAACTTTTACATGTTAATTTTTTTTAAAGGAATCATCACAAAGTTGTGCTATTTCATTATATATAGAGGGAGAAAAAAATACAATCCCTAGGGATAAGAAAGGAAAAAACTATACAGAGCTACAAGGATATTGGAAGGAGCTCATGTAGCTTTTTTGCTACTGCTAGAGACCAAGTTCTTGTTTCCTCCTTTATTTTTTGCTACCAGGCTAGGTGCCGTAGTCTCCTTGTGTTTAAAAACTCGCAGGTTCCTTTCTTTCCAGATTTTCTAGACAACCAAAAGGACCAAGCTACGCAAGTCTTTCTTGGGTACCTCTTTTTTGTTATCAAGCATCTCTCACCAGACTTGGACATCCAGGCAAGGCTCCTATTGGTTTGGGTCTAACTGCTGATAGGCCACCATCGAGGCTAGTTGCCTCCAGACTTGTAGTGTATCTACAGTGGGCGAGAGGTGAAGCTCCGATTCGTTCCTTGTTCGACAGAGGGGGCAACGGACATTGTTTTTCTCTTGTTGCAAGTCTATCTAAGGTCTAAACTCTGTTTTGAATGACTAGCCATACATAGAATTTGCGTTTTGCAGGGGGCCACACTTTCTAGAATATGTTGTTGCTAGCATCAAGCGTGTATCATGTATGTATATGACATATATATGTTGTTGCCAGCATTCTAATTTAAATGGTATTGATCCATCAAAAGTTGATACTTAGCTCTTAATTCTGATGATCCTGTTTCACAATAGAAGTAGTAATTCAGGTTTTGAGTTCTATCCAAAAACATACTCCCTCTGTTTTTCTTGTTTGACTAATTGGTTAGTCAGCATACATAAAAAGGAAAGGAGTAGTATATTATAGCTTTGTGTGCCATGTCATTCACAAGAGTCAAGAGAGCGAAATTAGTTTCTTATGAGAAGTATCTTTGTGTAGTTCATCCTCTGTCATCGAATTCTACTCATGAACATACCATCATTTTATCAGCAAGAGAGCAAATAAGTCGCTTACAATTCGCAACTTTTGTAGGCTACCTTTCTCGATTTATCAGACGAAAAGGAACACAATTAAAGAAAAAGAAGGCAAGCTGGTGACACGCCCGAAATTCATGCGAGCTCAGCATCATGAGGAGCACCTTTCCTGACAACCAAAACCAAGCTTGTTCAGCTTGTTCATCATGTGGCTTCGTAAAACGGAACCCTCGCTCCTCGGCACGTAAAACGGAGCAGCGATTAGCATGTGATTTAATTAAGTATTTGCTAATTTTTTTTAAAAAAATGGATTAATTTGATTTTTTTAAACAACTTTCGTATATAAGCTTTTTCAAAAAAAAAACGCATCGTTTAGTAGTTTGAAAAGCGTGCGCGCGGAAAACGAGGAGAAAGAGTTGGGAAACTTGACTGCCGAACGCTTTGGACATGGAGCTTCCTAACAAAATTCACTTTCTACTATTAATTAGACACTGTTTAGATGGGACTAAAAATTTTAAGTCCCTATCACATTGGATGTTTAAAAATTAATTATAAATATTAAACGTAGACTATTAATAAAACCCATCCATAATCTTGGACTAATTCGCGAGACGAATCTAATGAGCCTAATTAATCTATGATTAGCCTATGTGATGCTACAGTAAACATTCTCTAATTATGGATTAATTAGGCTTAAAAAATTTGTCACGCAAATTAGTTTTCATTTATGTAATTAGTTTTGTAAGTAGTCTATATTTAATACTCTAAATTAGTGTCTAAATAGAGAGACTAAAGTTAAGTCCCTGGATCCAAACACCACCTTAGTATTACCGGTAATAAGTTTCTCATGTGTTCCAAGAGATCTTAAGAAATGACGGATCGACGGTTCCACTTTATGTTCAAACATAATTTGGTTTTTTTTTTCATTTATGTAATTAGTTTTGTAAGTAGTCTATATTTAATACTCTAAATTAGTGTCTAAATAGAGAGACTAAAGTTAAGTCCCTGGATCCAAACACCACCTTAGTATTACTGGTAATAAGTTTCTCATGTGTTCCAAGAGATCTTAAGAAATGACGGATCGACGGTTCCACTTTATGTTCAAACATAGTTTGGTTTTTTTTTTCTACGTGTGTTTTTTGGGTGAGGTGTTCTGTTACTATATGAACTCTAAAGAGTGGGGAGTTAGGCTGTGTATATCTCTATGTTGAATATAGATGTTGGATTTTAATTCATTATTAAAAAGGATAAATTGGAGGGGTGAAGGGATCAACGAATGTCCACTTTTAGAGTAGTAGGGAGTAGGGACTGGCTAAGTGAATGCCCATGTTGGTACTTTATGAAAAATAATCATACATGCTATAATATTGTCTTGTCTAGCCTTAACTCGGTAGGAGTGTGGGGTTGTGTACATCCTCACCATCCAAATTTGAGTTCTACTGATTTCTCATCTTGGAACGAATTAATGTGGTTTTTTTAATCAATAATGCCTTCGTTTTTCTTTTTTGTTTTTCTTGTCATACTGAACAGTTGATACTACTTATATGGATAATAACAGTAAAAAGATTTAAAAAGATTGTTGTTTTAATTGTTTAGCAGATATTAACGTTTTAAAAAAAAAACTTGAGTTAATTACAGTTTGGACTAGATTTCTTTACCAAAATTGCATAATGGACTAGGTCTCATCTTATATTTTTACTTTGAATCGGATGGACTTACAATTTGTTGCACATTGGACCTGATTGATACATCAGCCACTTGATGAGATCTTCTCCATGTCCTCAAGCTGAAACTCACTACTTCCATATCCACACTCACCACCACTAATTAATGAGCTCATGAACAAGCCATGTCCCTGCTAGTGCTATTAACCTATAATGAACGGAGGAAGGATGGACCTAGGCCTACTCATCGTCGACCATAAACTGTCGAGATGACCGCCTCAAATCGACATAAGCGCAGAGCCAGCAGAGCCGCTCAAGCTTGGGAGCTATGTGTGCAGGAGCAAATTGATGAGATGTGAGCAGTGCGACGGAGGGCGACACTCGAGAGTGCTCTATTAGCTACTGCATGTTTGAGCTTTCACACTAGCCCAGCAAGATCAAGGAGAGAGAGCAAGGGAAGAGAGGGAAAGATGGAGAAGAAGCAAAGTGTCCCAAAGGGAAACTATATGTAATCTTTCCTGGTTCAAACTGAAAATATTGTGCCGCTACTAGTCCAAGTTGCCACACTGGTAAAAATAAATGGCCCTATATGCAATTTACTCAAAAATCTGTAATGCCCCTTAGTAAGTGATATGTGGTTGGGAGTGAGAGAACGGTTACAGATAGGATGGGCCGAAATTTGAATAGGAGGTAACGGATCAGACAAATAGTACTCGAGTGACAATCCTTGTGGGACAAACTCTGACTCATATGATTAGCTTCATCGTATCGCCTACACCTGATTATAAGCTGTAACATTTATTGGTAACTAAAATATAATTTATGGGTAAACATTTTATATATGTAACGCTTATTAAAAATTAAAAGATAATTTATGGGTAAATATTATGTATATATATTCTTATCGACTCAAATGCAATACTGTAAGATCTATAGTGAGAAAATATCAAAATTAATTTAAAATTAAGTTTTAAGATTTAAAATTTGGTTATTGCTGATAACTGAACAATGGCAGATCCAGACATATTCTGTGGGGTCGGCTGAACCCACAACTTTCTAAAAAACACCCTACAAACCTTGATTTTCATGTATAAATCCAGAAAAAATTAGAGAAATGACATCACTTAAATACAAACCAATTACCCCACATGATTAAATTCCTGACTCGGCCATTATAACTAAAGAGCATGAAGAAAACTCAAGTAAAAATGCCTATTGTGTATTATTAGTGGATGGCATTCAAGGAATCATTCATAAAAATGTACTCTCTTCGTCTCGATATATAAAAACCTAGGACCGGATAAAATATTTTGTACTATAAATCTGGATAGACTTCCTGTTCATATATTCGTAGTACTATGAAATATTCTATCCAGTTCTAAATTCTTATATTTTGGGATGGATGTAGTACTAGATATGAAATGGTACTCGAGATTTATAACCGCCATTACTACTTCTCTCTTCGTTGTTTGGACAAAAGAATAAGTTCACTAAAATTCTTTCAAAATGGAAGGTACACCGTCCGTTCCTAAATATTAGTATTCCGAGTATACAATTTAATTTATACAACATAAGTATTTCTAGCGTAGCGAATCCATCACACATAAATCGATGTTGCACACAAACTCATGTATTTTCAGCCAATAAGATATACAGGGTACCTAATCAATTCAAAATTTAATCCATCGTTCATAATCCTAATGTTTGCTTAAATAACCTAGAACATTTTATATTTAGAAGTTGGTGGGAGTACAAGACAAGACCTAGTACAATAATCGAAGTTTCCTGACGGGATTTTGATCGGTGCGACGGTGCCGACAGTCCTTCGAGTATGCATACCCAACATTTTCGCGCCAGTGTCACTGTCGAGAGGAAAGACCAAAACGCAAAGTTGCTTTCGTCCCTAAAAAGCAGGCATTCATGCGACCACGAAAAGTAGGAGTATCTTAAATGATCGGATGCTTCAACATGCAGCATATTTGCTTGCTCTTTCTCAGCTTGTCTTCCTCTATTCTAAAATAAACAAATATAATATCACCTCCATATCATATTTTAATGTATGACGTTATTTTTTTATCAACGTTTGATTATTCATCTTATTTAAAAAAATATGTAATTAACATTTATTTTATTGTGACTTAATTTATCATCAAATATTTTTTAAGCATGACATAAATATTTGTATATTTGCATAAAATCTTTTAATAAGACGAATGGTCAAACATTAATTAAAAAGTCAACGGCGTCATACATTAAAATACGAAGTGAGTATAAAATATGATATATTTTAATACTACAAATTTAATAGTAAATTTAGTATAAGATATACTTCATTTGTCCCAAAATATAAGAGATTTTGGAGGACCGTGAAACGTCCTAACATTAAAGATTAGTAATATTAGAATGTATCACATCTCTTTAATTTCTTTATATTTTGGGATGGGGGGATTAACATATCTGTAGTAGATTTGTTTAGGCTTGTAGCATTACCGGTCAAGCCAGGAATTAAGGCACGGTTGTTACTAGCCCAAGATGTAGGCAACAGAGTAGCGGACTTGAAACAGCCGTGCAGGGACTGACCAGATTGGGTTTGTTTAGTTCATTTCCATTTTTAACCTTGCCAAAAAAAATGGGCAATGAAGAGAACTGGCTATTGTCAAAAGTTATAAACAAAAAATAGCTAGGCCTTCATTTGGTGCTATTCAACCAACGCAAATAATTTGCCAATACCAACATTTTACTATAAATACTTATATTTTGGCCTTTTTCTTTTACTTGGTCAAGTTTGGTTATAAACCAAACAAGCCATGTATGGGTTGGTAATGAGATGGCTTTTCCTACTTGTTGTATACATTAATACTTCTATTCTAGTCTTGGACATATAATCTCAAAATATTACTTTGTTCAATAATTTATTTTTTTGTAAAATTTTTAAAGGTAGAAAAACTACCCATTTTAGTACTTTTACGACAAATCTGTGAATATTATCTCCATGAATCCAAAATAAAAATTTTAAAAAATAATACTCCAAGTTTGAAAAATTAACCGAAAATGTATGTCCAAATCAACAAGCATCTGTGATGGGAGGAAGAAACAACCGCATGCCCTTCTGGAGAGGTGGGGTGCATTTTCCCTAAATTTTTGAACAGTTTATCATAAATTTCCCACTCAACAAACATGCCAATATCTTATAAATGCTGTAGTACAAAATTAGGACAAGCTATATCTTGTATGTTCAAAAGTCAGTACCCAATGGCCAAAGCAAAACCACATTTCCTCTAAGAGAAATTTTACGGTTCTTGAAAAAGTATCGAGGTATCTAAATTTGACACTAATTTTTTTTTTACCTCAAGATCCTTAGTATCTAAAGGTACCAAAATTTACGCTAGAAAATGTGGTATTTTCTGATACCATCTAAAGGACGGTAAAATTACCTTATTCTAAACCTCCACTGTTTCCCATTAATTCACAAAAATGAAAAAGAAAAAAAAAAGCAGTCTCCCTCTACAAATTTAAGAGCAAAGCCCTCCATTCAGTTCATCCATGCATTCTTGGCCAGTTGGCCTGGTTAGTTCCTGCAACAAACAAACTCTCAGCTACCACACCACCATTGCATATTTGCATTTCACCAATGGAGAGGTCAGCCTCCTACACCGAGAAGAGCAGGAGCGCCGCCACGGTGGCCGGCGCCGGCGCCGGCGACTTGAGGTGCCACAGCGCCTACTACGTCACCTCGACGTACTCTGCTCCTCCTCCTCCTCCTCTCTGGTACGACGATGCCGGCAGCGGCAAGGCGAGCAAGATCAAGAAGAAGAAGGCGGCGGCCACCTGGCCATCGTCGTCGGCGTCGGCGTCGACGTCGGCGTCGAAGGGGAGGGTGTGGGGCGGGCTCGGCGACGCGGCGGAGATGCAGCGGCGGCGGAGGGTGGCCGGCTACCGGGTGTACGGCGTGGAGGGGAAGGTGAAGGTGTCGCTCCAGAGCAGCATGCGGTGGATCAAGGGCAAGTGCACCCGCGTGGTGGACGGCTGGTGGTAATAAGCTCATGCTGCTGCCTGCTGCTGCTGCTGATGATGATGATGATGAATTGGTGGTGATCACTGATCACTACTCATCAGATTATTATTCAGATATCACTTATCATCAGAGTTGTCAAGAGATTAAAATAAGTTTATGAAGAAAAAGATTCAGATAAGTGTTTGTGTTTTCTTCTCCTGATCTCCTCCATATGCAGCTCGGCTGCAGTAATCTGTTGTAAGGTAGGATGGCAATGTGAGTGTGATCATGCTACAATAAGTGTTTTTCTCACGGTGTAATTAGTCTCCAAATGCTGTACGTTCAGTTCTGTTGCAAGTTCATTGTATGCCGCCTACCTGGTCTGAAAGTGAGAGGGTACAGAAATGTGAGCAAATTATCAGTACGTAGTAAATTAAGCCTCTGGATTTGAATATGATGTTTCTTTAGCATCTTTCTCCAGGATTTTAAGATGCTCCCTCCTTGCGTTTAACGAACTGGTTGCCTTGTTTTCGTCCCAACCTTGAGTCCATGAAAATCCAAGTCATGTTTTCTTCTTTTTTATTTCATGAGGCAAATTAAGAGTATACCACCAGGCAAAACAATACAAAAGAAGAGGAAGACTGCCTCAGTGACAAGTTTATAATCACACAAATGGTGTTTCGAAGTATCAGAGAATTATACATCGTTGCATAAAAGTGATCAGAATATACAACAACATTGCTTCAGATCAGAAGTGAGAGATGCTTTATTATTCTTTCCAGAAACGTTAGCACACAATTATGGCATCTGACACCATAATCGGTTAAATACCAGGTTTAGCTGTCGGTTCTATATCTGTACCCATTCTGTCTCGAACTGAATTCCAACGCAAATTGTATTAAACATGGTAGTACATTCATGTGTAAATCTAACTCAAGCCATTATCCAGTGAAAACGAGCTAAGTGTTAAAAACTCGTAAAAATCATACCTAAAAGTTTTTGTAAATTCATGAAAAAAAATACTAGAGATAGATATAAATATGAAATACGTTCTCACCAAATCTCAAGTTCAAACTCAACTTCGTTCAGAAATAACAAAAAGACAAATATCATGTGAATCACCCAAACACAAAACAAATGCTTGAGATCAGAACAGAACGATGTTGCTTTATTCTTCTTTCCAGCAACGTTAATACACAATTATGGCTGGGCATCTGACATTATAACAGGTTAAATACCAGGTTTTGCTGTTTGTTCTATACATGTACCCATATTCTCTCTCTAGGTGAGCCTTCCGCTCATTCGAACTTCCAACGCAAGTTGTATTTTCAGGGTGGTACATTCATTTACATCTAGCTCGACATTATATCTAAACAGCATTGCTGACATGCAGAATGAAAAGTATACAGAGTCCACACATGTCAGGAGAACTGTGTGCTTATGATGTTCAGCTACAACACTGGGACACCAGTAGTAATGTACACTCTGCATTGTGGCGAGTTAAGCTTGGCAAGATGATCAACAGGCGATGGTGAAACGGAGCGATGATGCTTGTTACCTTGCGGCGAGTTAATTTGCTTCTGATGATCTGTTTTATGGTACATGTTCTCAGCAGGGCTATCTATTTGTTTGGGCTTGTTGCCTGTTCATGACATCATGGTAGTATAAGAGAACACACATTGGTTGCCCCAGGATGCTGAAGAAGAACCAAAATATCATGTTGCCCACCTGTCAAATCTCAAAGAGTGCTCAGGTAAGATCATGCCGTGTGAAGTAGCTACGCAATATAAGTAATTTTGTAATATGCATCACGTACCATTGTGTTATTGAATTTATCTTGAAGGTATTTCGTCAAGAATACCAGGGGAATCTGAGCAGGACAGACACTAACAACATCAGCCTAAATAATACTGATGGAGTAGAGATATCAATGAGAACATTTCAAAATAAGCATAGTCCAAGTGTAATGCATGAGCTGGTCTAGAACAAGCATAGCGTGAATGTGACTTTTAGAGTCCAATACATACATGAATGCTTCTCCGTTCTGTTGCGCTTGTTTGCGCTTGTTTTTCTACCAACTCTGACGTTGACGATAAGATTGGTACAACTAAATTGGCTTTAAGGAAAATTCTACATGCCTCTATAAAGGCTACTATGGAAATGCTGGTGAAACTCAAAAGCACAAGAAGATGATAAAATGAGTATACTTTGAATGGTTTTTATACCTGAAACATGATCCCAATAAATGCCCAGAATTTAAAAATGTGGCATGGAACAGCAACACATAGCTGCAAATCGATAAGGACAATGAAATAAATAATACATATGAAATTACATGCCAGAGCATTTTTCAATAAAATCATAAGGAGTGGTGAAAAGAAATTAGAAATGATAGCTCTAAGCATGTGGAAAGAATTTACCTCATGAAATGCAGCTGAAACCAGGAACGAGATTAGGATAGCAACACCCTGCAGTGAAGATACACCATGAATTTGGAAAGTATGTATTTTTTTTTAAAAAAAAGAGAGAGATCACATTTGTTCTGTACAATGAGCAATATAACAAATCAAGAAAAATATTTATGTTGAAGTATCATTTATAATATGTTCCTTATAAAAGCATGTAGTCCCAGGCTCCCAGCTTCTACATCCGTTGTGTTGGTATCTAACCAACTAGCATGACAGTACTGGTAGTCTAGAAAAAAAATGCATCATGGCAGAACATTTACTAGGATAGTATTCCCATGTCAGTATCAAGCAGTTGTTTTGATGTTTCAGTAGGGCCAGCATTACACGCCAAATAAATTAAGCATTGATATCTGCTTAAGCATACTTCCAGTTTATCTGAACAAGAGTGCCATTTGCACATGCCAATGTTCTCCATGTAGCATTAGTTCAACAAATCAAAACATTTATACCTATTACCCACAATACTGAGAAAGGTACTTGCAATTTAAATGGAACAATTTGTTAATATTCTGATAATATTGAAATTCGCCACTATAAGGTTTAAACCATGCATGGCTGCCTTTTTTTTTTTTTTCATGGATGCATGGCTGTCTTAGATAAACCGCAGAAATTACCTTTGAAAAACCATTCCTTATGCATGGAAAATATATATGTCGAATGACCCACTTGTGAACAGGCTGACAAGAAACAAAACAATTGTTAGATACTGGAATGATATTAATGTTAATTACTAAGACAACCATCTCAGGCTTAAGTGACAATTTTCAACATTTATTTTAGAAGGAAGCTGGCAGTTATTTCAGAATTATTGTACTAAATTAAAAATATAAGTTTTTCCTTTAAAGAAAAATTTGAAGACGAAAATAGAAAGAAAATCACCATATTCCACATTCTCCAATACTGAGGCCATCCCGAAAGATCATCCCATATGAAGTGCATGGAAAATCACAATGTCAGCTCTATCCAGAGTTCTCTCAGAATTTTTTTTAAAAAAACATGCATGTATTATTAACAGGTCTTTCACCTCTTCAACTGTTTTGGCATTCCACCAGTCCTTGTAGAATTCACGATCACCAAAACAGAGGAGCTCAGCAAGAATATTCAACCTGTACAGAAAAGGAACAAAAATGCACGGAAGCAGTATGAGATGAAAGGTTGAACTCTGGTTATGGTAAAACTTATGTTTTTCCCATTCTGATCCAAAACCATGGATTCCTGTCATACACATACACAGAGGGACCACCCAAACTCTTTTTTTTTCTATGCAAAAACTCAACATACATGAGCATTTGCAACAATAAACCCATCAAACAAGTGATTAACTAAATATGGTAGAAAACCATGATTATCCAATATGTTGTGGAACAGTTGGTCCTTGTATATGCAATATGGTACCCAACTGGAAGATACAAAGAATGTAATACAGGGACAAAACAAAGTTATCAAAGATACTTACCAGAGATGGAAAAAACAGTAGAACATGCAAAGCCAGACATATAATGTTGGCACTGATAATTTCAATACTCTCTCTATAGCATTCAAGAAATTCCCTTTCAATGGATGCTTCGAATTCTTCACAATTGGATTTATGTACTGAAAAATAAAGGACATATTGAGTATACAAACAGCTATGTAAATGAAATACCATGAGAAATCATGTAAAGAGGCTCACTTGCTCAATTATAAAACCCATCAAGCCTGTAAAAACAAGGCATTTTATCAGTTGTCGGACCACCCAACCTTTTCTAATATATGTAGTTCGGGGATAACTTGGCTGCATAGTGAACAAGAATGAAATAAGGAAAAGTTTATTTTTAGTTAAATGTAAATATATGTGACAAAAAGAATGGATCATGCAAAGTTAGAATTTAGAAAGTAAGAAGCAGAGGTCTAAGGCAAAGAACAGTACCTGGTAACAAAGTGTTGGGGCCAACATGAAGTAGGATAGCCTTTTAAAGGTTGGCCATTTAATGTTCTCCGGATCTATAGAAATGTCATGTGTCACGCCCTATTGTATAAGAATAAAATATGGTATTATTAAATAATCATAGCCACAATGATAGAAGTGAGTGAAGAGCTCTAAGCTATAAAATTTGCACTACACAAGCAATTCAAATATTGTCAGGGATGAACGCTAGAAACAAGTTTAAACAGGAAGTACAGCATGAACTAGTCTTTGTAGAAGGAATACAACAAAAGTTTACTGGCTAGCAGTTCATTGCTGACATACGTAAAATCTACACTGCTTTGGAAATTGCTTTTGCATTATTCTCTATGTTTTGAAGTCAACGATTGTAACAGAAACCATGAAAAATGAAACATACAAGCATATACCTATGCTTTACCTTTTCAATACTTTTGGACAGCATTCTTATATCATAATTTGTATGAGCAAAAGAAACAAGCTTCAACCAAATAATGCTTGCAAGAAACATCAACACAAATCCAGATAATACTGCCGAATCACACCTGAAAGATTGAAATGTAAATGAACTAAGAATCCAGATTTATGCAAGAACAATATCTTCATAAACAACATTTCTTGGTATATCAATGCATGAAGCCAAAATAGATAAGTATATAAGAACTATCTAATCTCTTTACAATCAACAAAAAGGCGACATGTACTTGTTACTTCTGCCCTCAACTGCCTCTGTTTGACAAATAAGGATGACTTAATCTGAATCTAAGATTATGAAATGCGATTTGCACAACATTGCCACATACATGCAACTTCAGGGTGGTAGGACTGCGCTGATATCTCTCAGGTTAGTTCTAAGAATTTGGAACTAATAAGATTTACTTTTATTTAATAGTTGATGACTATTAAAAAGAAATGGGCTTTAAGATTCCAAGACGGAATCAAATTATCCATATGACTCTGATTGTTTTACTCAAACTGAAAACTAACATTTTGTGGACTAGATATATCGTATAACATCAAACATAACCAAAGATAAGAGTTGCATGAGTCATCTTTTAGTCAACAAATATACATTAGTGAAATTTACTCTAAAAAGTTTGAAACTGAAAAACCTGAATTAATTTTGCACTCATACCACATAAATACAGCATATCTCTGAATACGACAAAAAATGAGTGTATCCCATACCATCAAATATAAGAGATCAACGAATGTCAAAAGTAGATGCATTCAAACAAACTGCAAAGTCAAAAGAAATATGCTTACTTTAGAATCACAACAACTGGATAGACAAGGACAGATGTTGTAATAACGATATGGAGAAGAATAACCACCTGCAAGAGGTGTACCAAAATCATGAACTGTCTACTGGCACTTGAAACAGTAAATCAACAGGCAATTCTTTTGGCATGAACTTACATACACGATACATCAATAGTGAAGGAGCCTTGAATGAAAAGACAATAAAAATATAAAGAACTACTAACAAAGTAAAACAAACTTACATGTTTACTAATAAGTTTTCTTTGAGCCAACTTCTCAACCATAAGTGCAGCAAGCGGGAAAGTTGGTAAAGTGAGACTGTAATTTGCAGATCTATTGTTTTAGGAGGTGTACAACTGTTTATCAAATCTCAAATTAGAATTAGGTCAGTAGATATCTACCAGCACATGAGAAGAGGCCAATCTGCCAGCGATGTTCCACTAAACCAAAATCCAGCTCTAATTAGTAGGCCATACTGCAGCGGCAAATACAGATAATGAGAATGAGTTAAATCAGAACTATAATAGACAAGAGGCATGTCGAGAAAAGCATATAATAAGTAAATGCTACTACTCCCTGGGGAAAATAAAGAGAGCAAGAAATGATAATGAACCTTCATTAAATTCTCAATAATAAGTCTGCTGTTCACAGCAACCAGCACAACAATGCATAGGTTCAGAAGGCCTGCATGGCTCTACAAAAAAAACAAAAAACAAAAAAGATTAGCTGTCAGCTATAAGAAAGAGTAATAAAAGTTGACATCCAATTTACTAATATCCTAATAAATGTTTTATCATGGGTTAAGTTATGTAATGTTGTTTTGTCAGGTAAAAGAAAAAAATGATTTGATTTGCAAGAATATATCTAAATTAAAAGGAATGCCAGTCTTAAAACTCAAATCTTCAGATTTATGCAAGCATGCATACAAAGTTTTGCGTAAAACCAGATCAACGGGTATGGACCTAGTGTTCGGCTCAGATCATTTCCCAGTTCCCACCACCAATCTTACAAGGAAATTTCATTAAATAATGTTGCCCCAATACTGTGCCAACATTGCAGCACACTGACATCCTAGAGTAGCAAATGTAAAGAATCATATCGGTGCCAAGTAGCATGCCTTAATGCCTGGTGGAAAGGGGCTATCCAACTAAAAAACAGCAGCCGACAACACACACAGTTATATGGACCTCATGCACAAGCAAGGCATGCCCCGAACTGGAGAAGACAAGGCCACAAGGCCACACTACACACAGTTATATGGACCACTCTGAACAGGGGAGCCACATGTCCAACATCGCATAAATTCAAGATTTTGCTGGCCTTCAATGGAAGCTCTGTATCTGAAGTAACATTCCCAACAATAACTCATAGTCTGTAGTCTGTACAACCAACCCGAGTACCAAGTCTTTTAATGTGTACAAGCCTTGCGTGCCAAGTGACCCATTCATTGTTTGGTCATTCACTGTTTCACTCTGACACGCCAAAGGCCAAACCCTGCTACTCGTAAATGCTAACAGCAACAGTTTATCCTCGGACATCGCTGTCGTCTCTGCACTGCCGGCCACCGCGAAATTGTGCAACGCATGCGTCCGGCGCCCGGCCGCTGGTTCCCCCCATGATCCCCAAAACGAGCAACGATGGCAACCCGAATCCGCAGCAGCATATATCACCACGAAACAAATTGTGCCCGTCCCAAGCACACACAGACGTGAATCGAAAATCTAGCCACGATTCGGGAGCACCGCGGCAGGCTGAACTTCACATCTGAGCACGGCAGGCGGCAGGCGAGATGCTAACCGACAAGGAAACGGCTAATAACAATTTGAAAACTAATTATTATTTTTTCTTATTAGTAGAACAAAAATCATGGGTTGATGAACTAGCAGAGGGCACAGTAATTCCAACTCTTTTATTTTTGGTGGAGCTTCCACGAACGCCGCCGCATCGATCGATGGAGATCAGCGGGGGGAAGGAGAGGAGGAGGAATCGTGTGCTTTACCTGGCGGAAGATGGCGTCGGAGCTGAGGGGGCTCTCCCTGACGCGGCGGTGGGCGGGCGCCGACGCGCGGTACCAGAGCAGCTGCTGCTGCTGCTCCTGATGCCTCTGCTCCTGCTGCTGCTGCGGAGCGGGAGCGTCACCGGCGGCGGCGGCGGCGCGGGCCCGCAGGCGGAGGGCGTCGTCGGGTTCGCCGCCGCCGCGATCGGGGGCGAGCGAGGGGGGCGGGGCCATGGGCGGGGGGGCGTTCTAGAAGGTTCTAGAAGGGTCGGTGGAGGTGGAGAGGGGGAGAGAGAGGCTTTGGGGGGCGGTGCCGCGGTGGTGGGTTTTTGATGCCGCGCGGTGGTGTGGAGGTGACGCGCAAAAGCGACGAGGGGGGGGGGAGATGCCGAGATGGGGGGAGGTGTCAGCGTCGTCAACGGGGTGCCACGTGGCGGGGGGTGGGCCCGGGAGGGGCGCCAGGCGTCCTCCCTCCTTCCTTGCGCCGTCGTCACTCACCGGGGCTTTGCGAGATCGGAGGGAGGGAGAGGCGGCCGGGGCGACCCGACCAGGCCGTCCCGTTCCCGTGGGCGGTCGCGCTGTCTGGCTCAATCGAGCCACACGGCCAAAGGCTACGACAGGATTTATTAGTAGCTCCAATTATTTTAGTTTTCTTATATCTTACTTCTAACGTAGGTTCTGTTTGAATCTACGGAAGATAAAAGATGGAGATGAACGATGTGATAATAACTTATGATTGATTGAGTTTTAATTATTACAAACTTTAAAATTGATTAATCTGGTATTTTAGAGCAGCTTTCATATAGAAAATTTGTCGCACGAAACGTATCATTTAGCAGTTTGAAAAGCGTGCCATAAAAATCCAAAACTTTATCAACAATCTGTTGGGTTCTCGAACAGGGCCATATACTCCCTTCGTTCCAAAATATAAGTGTCTCATTCAACCAAAATCCTTATATTTTAAAATTGAGAGAGCAGTAACTTAAGATAGAATTAAACATATGCCACGACTATATGTTAAACATAATGAGATTTGATACCCTGAGTATAAGATCCATTCTAAGTTGCTGTATGTTAGAATGGAGGTAGTATATACCACTAGCTCCATCTCAGAATATAGCAACCCAGAATCGAATGAGACATATTTGTACAATTTTGGATTGGCCTCATATCTAGATTCATAGTAAGGCCCTGTTTAGATTCCAACTTTTTTTCTTTAAACTTCTAATTTTTCCGTCACATCGTTCCAATTTCTTCAAACTTCTAATTTTGATGTGGAACTAAACACAACCTAATATGTATCATTCAATACTATTGTCTCCGTCCCAGAATATAAGTAGTTTTAGAGTTAGACACGGTTATTAAGAAAGTATGTAGAATTAAATAGTGAGAGGTTGTCATTGGTTGAGAAGTGGATGTAGATAGCAAAAGTAAATGGGTGAAGAGTTTTGATTGGTTGGTAATAAAATATTGGTAGAGAAGTTATTATATTTTGGGACAAATCCTGAATGTTAAAAGATGTTATACTTTTGAACTGATGTAGTAGGTTAATATGTTTTGGGATGAAGCGAGTCCTAGGATAAAGCTTTTCTTAAGAAAGAAAGGTTTAAAAAGAAAATTTCATTTGGGATATATACTCTCTCTCTATCTTAATATATACTACCTCTGTCATAAAATACATGTCATTCTAAATTGTTTAGCATATACTGAGATTTGAAAAAAAAAGACCATAATACCTCTTAATTAATAAAGTATAATTGGATGTGGAATGGTGGCTGGGGATAGAATGGAGAGATTTGAATTGAAAGTGATTGATGTGACAAGTAGTACTTCAAAGTGACAACTATTTTAAAACAATTTTTTAATGCTATAAAGACAAGTATTGTGGAACGGAGAAGTAAGACACAACCACTATTACGCGCAAAGACCCATAATCACATCCCTGTTGGATCACATCAATGCATGTATGTAATGTGAGCAGGGGATTTAGAAACAACCAAGTGTATGGTTATTTTATTGTCATTTTTCAACCTTACGAAATTTTGGACGGGTAATAAACTAAACATATCCTTACCATTATCAATGTACTACCGTTGCTAATTACAGAAGTATCCTCTATTCCTTCTAAAAAAACACCACCAAAATTTAGTAAGGTTCCAAATCAAACACATCCAACGCTACCAAAATTTGATAACGTCAAAATGTGTCAAATTTTAGTATTACCAAACTTTGATAAGATTGCAAATCAATAAAGTGAACAAGCTCTAAATTTATAGGAAGATGTATATTGCTTAATGTATGCTTACGTTGGCGTCTTATATTATGAGCCGTGAAAAAGAAGTGGTTGTCATTTAGAGTGTAAATTAAAGGAAATAAGTAATCTAGACTTGATTTTCTTGCATTATTGTTTCCGAAATGGCTTTAAAACGGCTAAAACAAGAAATGGTTTTAGAAAGGCATATGTTCCAAAATAGCTGGCCTTGTTTAGTTCCAAACTTTTTCTTCAAACTTTCAACTTTTCCATCACATCAAAACTTCCCTACACACATAAACTTCTAACTTTTCCATCACATCGTTCTAATTTCAACCAAACTTCCAATTTTGGCGTGAATTAAACACACCCTAAATGCAAAAATATGCTTGTATGAGGTATGGATTAGTTTTATTGGCTTATTTTGTTGGATTATTGAAACAAATTATTTGTCTTGTGCTTCAAAAAAATATTTTCTAGATAACATTATATCTATTATATTGCCTAGATCGTTTATTTTAATCTATTTATTAAATTTATTTAATACAATATTTAATCTATATAATCAAGTAGATAGTTTGAGGCAATAATCCACTCATCATCAGAAATCTGAATCAGGGCCTTAATATATATGATGTATCATCGTAGCCAAAGTGTTTACTTACGGACTTAATATGCTTTACTTGTCCAAGAGGTATCCTTTCTCAATGAGAGGTGAAATATATGCTATAGATTAGTCAACAATAAGTCCTTAAATGTAAGGGATATATTACGATAATATCTTTCGTTTTTCAAGAAAGGTTGGACACAATATAGCTAGTCTTTCTTTGTTTGTTTTTTCATTTTTGAACCAGACAATATAATTTATGACATTTTGTCTTCATGTCAACCCTTTTTGTCTGAACCTTGTATAGTCACCGTAATCCAAAAGCAGCCCATCACCAACTTTTGAATTGTAGTGTTAGACGGGTTTGGCTTCTAGAGAAACATGACTAATTGAGATGTTGAGATTTGAGAGTCCCATTAGTTGCCCTAACAAGATAAAGCAAAAGCTAACATTTAAATTTGTAAACTTAATTTCGAAATTATTTTTAAAATATTTTAATGTGGTTTTTTTAGCATTAGCTTCTAAATCGTGAAGAATATATATATAAGGTTTATCTATAAATTATTTTTTATTCTCTAATAATCTGCTTTGGCTTATAATTAGGGAATATGAGCAATCGCTGAGGGCCTGAATTATGAAACTCGGTAAAAAAAATAAACAAATGATATGTACTACCTCAGTCCCAAAATTTGTATTTCTAGAATTCAAAATTTGTCCCAAAATAATTGTTACTCTAGAGTCTAATTTCCCCATCAATCATCTCTTATTCAAATTTCTCTCTAATTTACCCTCAACCATCTTTCCACTCTGACATGCACACCATTTAGGGAGGGGGCACCACAGTCTTTCTATTTAAACCTTAATATATGCTAAACAATCTAGAATTAAAATTATTTTGGGACGGAGGTAGTACTTTTTAAAACAAATACATGCAACTTGATGGACCCTAACACCTCTCAAAGGAAAGGCGATAGCGACTTAATTAATTAACGAGAGGAGTAGGTTGCTAAGCCATTAGTACAATTTTGTTTGCCCAAAGTTTTATTCCCACGATTAATTAGGAGTATATATAATGTTACATATCACATCAGATAGAGACCAAGATATACTAGTAGTAGCAAATACTCGTAATCATCAATGTGGATGGAACCTTAGCCACTACGTACTACCTTTTCTTCTTTATAACAAAAGGAACCTCACTTACTGCGTGCTTTTAATTAATTTCTAATTATATCTTAACCACTAAGGATGTTGACTGCAAAACTAAAGCCATGCATGATGCTTGTTGATCACTTCATTGATTGCTGTGGGATTACCATGTTCAGCATATGTAATGCTTATTCTGATCAGCAGAAATTAATATGCCAAAATGCACATTTCATTTACGATAAGGGGAAAAAAAATCTCTGCTTCATTAGAAGCTACAGCCAAATGATCATGGTCAAGCTTGCTTTATCAACAGGTGCATTGTTTGGCCTAGAGCTAATAAGCCGTGAAACGACTTGTTAGCAATGAAAAAATATTTAAAACTTTTATATCTATATCTTCAACAATTTAAAAGCCAATATTATAAAATAAACTAAGATGAAAAATATCCAAAATTAAATTTTAAATTTTAAATTTCGGCAACACTTTATAAACTGATTGACAAAAGAGGGGACTTGCCAAAAAAAAATATTTATCAATATACACGGTTATTGTCAAGGTTGAGACTTCCTTTGTGATTGTGTGAAGAGATCAACCATGTAAATAGTTTGTAATATGGTGTAGTACGTTTTACAAATCTCAATGCCAGAAGTAAATGTCAAGGCAACGTGTATTACATGCATTATCCTTATCTTAAAGGAACCAAATACACATATTTTCTTTCTTTTCAAAAAGGGACTAGATTGCGTGATTATTAAAAACACCCATAATTAACTCGTTTCAACTAGACACAAGATAAAGTTCATGGCAACAAAGAAGAAACGATTCAGAATTACTCTATCTCAAAAGGAAAAACAAATGATATACAGGGTTGATTCCATCATCAGACTCCAGTTCCCTGATCGCCAGCATTGGGATCATCTGCCTCAAATTAAAGGCCTAACTAATCAACAGGATAATCTTATATCCTGTTTTTTCACGAAATCCACGGCCAAAAGCCCAAAACCAAAGGATGCAAGCACAAATGGAAAATGACAAAAGGGAGTCTGCATGCTCGATAGCGACACGCATATATCAATCACGTACCCGTTCAAAAGAAAGATGGTGACATGCCGCATTGCGCCATCAAATCTGGTTAACATTTCTCTGAATCTAGCTAGTATCGTGTCAATTTGGACAAATATGCTATTTTCTGTCTGCAGAAACGACCAATATATCTTTACCTCCACCTTTCTGAAGGAATGGCCTCGTTTGTAAGGGAAGAATTCCACGGGAAATTTTAATGAAATAGCCATAGTAGTGTACTATTAGGGCCTGTTCGGTAGTGAGTTAGAATTTTGCAACTTCATCGTCTTATGTGAACATGCTTTCCGAGCTGTTCAACATTGTGTCTTCTTGAAAATAAAATATTTTCTACATGATTTTTTTTAAAAAAAATCAAATAAATCAAGCGTGCCCTTGAGTGCCACTGCAGTTGCTACTGCCGAATCCGTACGCGCCCTCGAGCGTCGCAGCCACCTTTGGATCTGCCGGCTAGAACCGCCACAGTCGCCCGCTAGT